TACGCTCGTGACCAAGACGGCTACGACTCATGTCGTCGAGGGGGAGTGTTGGAAGTGCAAGATGTGCACGTACATCGACTCCAGAGTAGTATCCTATGTTACGGCATATGGAAGGTTCTAGAAGGATCTAGGCATAGTGATAGGTCTTAGTTAGCGGATGGTTGGTTAGTTCTCACTTCGAGATTGGTATAGCCACTGACGAGGCCCCGGCGGGGGGCGAAAACGCGTCTGGCACGCGTTCAATCCAAGTCATTCACATCTACTCGATTCTACATTTCCTACAGGTTATGAGCCCAAACGGCTTGGTATGGGCACTGCGGTGTACGCGGAATACGCGCTGGGGGAGTTCACGCTCAAGTCGTCGCGGAAGCAACGGGCTCCGACGACAGGGGGAGCGGACCATACAAGTGCGCGGTGGACACGCAGTCGCTCTTTGCGTTCGGGAAAAGGACGGCCGAGTTCTGCACAAGGAGGTGGTTTCGAGTGGTGTGAGTGGTGGATCGAAAGAGGTCGATCGAGAAGGGGAACAACAACAAGCTCAAGCAAGGCTCAAGGACGGCTACAAGGTGTCAAGGGACGACGTGGTGGTGAACATGAGGGAGCCGGGAAACCTAGCGATCGCGGCAGCAACGGTTACGCTGGCCAGCGCGCAGGTGGTAAACCCTACAAGAATGTATGCAGTGAAGAGGCTGCAGCTGACAAGCATCATGCGGAGAGCAGCCGATGGCTGTACACTCGTGACCAAGACGGCTACGACTCATGTCGTCGAGGGGGAGTGTTGGAAGTGCAAGATGTGCACGTACATCGACTCCAGAGTAGTATCCTATGTTACGGCACATGGAAGGTTCTAGAAGGATCTAGGCATAGTGATAGGTCTTAGCTAGCGGATGGTTGGTTAGTTCTCACTTCGAGATTGGTAAAGCCACTGACGAGGCCCCGGCGGGGGCCGAAACGCGTCTGGCACGCGTTCAATCCAAGTCATTCACATCTACTCGATTCTACATTTCCTACAGACGCCACTTTGTTCATTCCAAAATATTGGCTCGAAGACACAGTGCGCTGATGTCGAGAAAGCGTTTGATCTGGCTGTTTTGAACAGCAAGGAAGCGTCGGAGCAGACAGCACTTTTTAGAAAGTCGTAGCTTCTGTTAGTGCCATAGGGGAGAGACAACACAAGACACGCACACTCGCATCAACTTGAGAGAGAAGCCAACTTTCACGCTTGAACGGCCAATTTCCTAGACAATGTTCACAGATGTACCTCGATCCATAAGCCATTTCTAAGTGCTACATGTAGTAGCACTTCGAATCTGAAGCCTTCCACGATAGATTTGTTCCACCAGTTTCAACACCACGTCTGAGTCCATTTTAACAACGCAACGAGTGTTCCAGCCGCAGCCACACGCTCCACAACGCCCAACGTCTGAAATATTGTCCATGTACCATGCGTTATGCCCCTCAAGTTGTTCACTTCACAACTGGAGTTATCATAGCCGCCTGTGCAAAACGAAGCCGTGCAGCGGGTTGAGCTGCGAGTAGTAGTTGCGCAGAACCTTGGTTACTTCGAAGCCGTGAGCTAAGTAGAAGCGATGCGTGGCGGTATTGGAGCTCTGCACGTGCAAGTACACGTAGACCAGCTTGTCTCTGCGAGCCTGCTTGATGACACTCTCGAGCAGCAAGCTGCCTGCAAAAGAAAACAATGACATCAGTCAACAAGATGCATGGAATGTCAGCAGCTACAGCACAAGAAACAGAGTGTAATACTTCGAAGTACTACAGTACAGTAGTATATAGAACCACACCTAGTTTAGAGCGGCGATATTCATCCACCACGCCGATCGTCAGAATGCACAGACGATAGCGACGTTTGCTCGATATCTTCACCTTTTCCACCTCGCAGCAGACTGAGCCAATTGCTGCCCCATCGTCTGCATACGCTGTAGCAAACTCTTAGCATAAATCCAGCCACTAAATCAACTTCGGTAGCGTACCGAGTTTGCAGTACCCCTCGGGTGCATCCGTCACATATTCATAGAACGCGTCATTATATTTGACAGTTCATTTCGTGCAGCTGATGGACGTTACCGGTATCCGGACCGACGGGTTGAAAGGACACGCCCCCAATCGACAATCCATGAAATCCAGGTCTCTCTCCTCTCCTGTTCTTTGGTTCGGTACCCAAATCTATTTCATCCGGAGTACAGTCCATTCGAATAGTGTGAGCCTCACACTATTCGCAGTGAGGTACGAAGTTGAAGCTCTCAGCGTGCAGAAACCCTGCCAACTGCTCGCGTAGTGGTTGCAATGTTTCGGGCGTGCGCAAGTTGGTACTGAGCAGAATGAGCTTCATCCGTTCGCTCAAGGGATCAGGCGCCACATTACTCAGTTTGGGTAGATTCAACAGGTGGCTCTGCAGCTTTTTAGCCACTTTACCGGCTTTGGAGGCTTCCACACGCACACCCACGACTTGCAGCGTCCGACGCAGCATCCTGCATTCATTCAACGCCACAAGAAGTTTGCTTTACATTTATACCGGTAGTCCATCCCCTCAGACTCAATTTTATCCACTAATATTCGTGAAAACCCTTATGAACGATGAAATTCATCCAATCACACCTGTTTATGCGGCCTGACACCCGATCCAAGCAACCAAAAACTCATTTTGCAACAAGCGCCACGCAGTTCAAGAGCTCAGTTAGAAATCTCGATAGAAACGATGGACGCTGTGGTCCCCTCCGCTAAGCAGACGACTGCCCCAACGCTGTTCCGTCGCAACCGCATCCGCGTCAAGGAGCTTCTGGGCAGCGGCCTGGAGCACGAGGGAAAGACGGTGACCGTCAAGGGTTGGGCCAAGACGCTGCGTGAGGCTGGCGCCGGTGCCTTCGCCTTCCTAGAGCTAAACGACGGCTCGTGCTTCGCCGGCGTGCAGTGCGTCATCAACAAGGAGGAGACCGAGGGATTCGCTGATGCCATCGCGTCAGGCGGTGTCGGTGCCAGCTTCAGCGTGGAAGGTGTTGTAGTCAAGTCCCCCGCGAAGGGCCAAGAAGTCGAGATTAAGGCCTCTAAGGTTACGGTTTACGGTGGTATTCCCGACAGTGCCACGTACCCCATGAGTAAGAAACGTCACACGCTCGAACATCTGCGTGCCCACGCGCATCTGCGTCCACGCTCCAACATCCACGGCGCCGCCATGCGCGTCCGCAACGCCATGGCCTTCGCCACGCACGAATTCTTCAACCAGCGCGGCTTCCTGTACATCCACACGCCGATCATCACCGAGTCGGACTGCGAAGGTGCCGGCGAGATGTTCAGCGTCTCGACGTTGCTCAGCCAGCACCCGGACGGCAAACTACCGCTCACTAAGGAGAACAAAGTGGACTACACCAAGGACTTCTTCGAC